ATGGCGCCGACCTGGGGGAAAACAACTCCCTCTCTTTCAACGACCTTAACACTTTGGGCGGCATATTCACTGCATGCAGGTACTGTTAGTAAAAGAGTTCGCTACATGCAAAAGCAAAAATTTGAAAAGACTGCGGACACTTACAAAGTAAGGGTTCCAGAGTCGCTTCAGAATTGAAAAAGTCGTACTTCCTCAAATTGGCGGTTTTCACGAGCAGTTTCACGTCGCGACAGTCATCTGGTAAGTTACCAAATGAAACTATTCGGTTGAAGTCAGAGATATTTGTCAACTTGGTCGACTTGTTTCCTGTGAAGAGACAAGAAAGATTGTTAGAAAGTAAATGCCAAAAAGAAAAGAAAAAATTGACAAAGTACAAAAAGGGAAGACCTACTCGGCTCCCTAAAGTGGCAGATGCCATCGTAATGGAAAAATAAAAACTTGGTCTCGTATGTCCTGACATTACTGGGGTAATTGAATATGCCTTCCTCGATTATGGATCGCTTTGAGAGATAGTTAGAATCTTTGTCCTTACTCTTTTTTAAATAGTACGAGCAAGCAAGCTCCAATGTAGTCAGCTGGCCGAGGCCGTACTCAACACACGCGATATATATAACCATGACTATCATATATGCGTTAGGCGTCAACTGTAAAGGTGCGACCCCGAAGTGATCGAGGATCGACCTAATAAAGGGACGGAAGGGAATTAGTGCTCCGCATTTGAATATAGCTTCAGAGATCGCAGCTATTCCCTATGGCAGATTCTGAGCTGTATGCGACCTGTACCAGTAGACGTCTACGCTAAGTGCGTATTGGTTTACTGCCTTCTGTATTTCCTCTTGGGTAGCCACTGACAAAATCTATTGCGCAAGACCCACTGGGGCGTCCTGCGCCTGCAAGCTCGTCCCCTCATTTGTTCTGGTCGCTATAGGGTCCATCTCTTCTATGGTCTGAAAAAGGGGGACACGTACAGATTACTCAGTCTCTGTAGAAGAACAAAACCCTAATGTATCTTCCAAAAATCCTAAAAAACCCTTGGGGACTACCCCCAATGGTTCGTACCCTGAAAACCTATTCCTTACAGAAAGTCTAGCCATAAACATCCACCATTATCGCCTGGTTAAGTTGTCCACAAAACAGAAAAAGGAAAGCAATGGAAGGATCTTCTTTACCTTTTTGGCTGTAGGGGTCGAACTTCTTACTATTAACGGAAAGTGTGCACCAACTTGAAGGATTGAAAATCTGGTCTCGCGAGAGCTTTTTGCTTTTTCTGAAAGTATGAGTGTTGTGACATTGCTTAATGCAAGCTTGGGGTTTTATAGTGGAGGAAACGGCGATTGGTCTTCCCAAAGCCAAGAGACGTTTGGGCGGAATGCATCTCTCCCTATTGATCGCGACCACGTGTCATCAATTGGTGAGAAAGAGTAACCGCTACGCTTCGAGAAATTCAATCGTCATGTCTCTTTATTGAAATAATCGAGCGACGGTTCGATTCTCTCCTCCACATTAAATGCGTACTCATCCACATTTAATGCCCTGATAAGGAATGTCGTTTCAGCATGTCTTGCATTTAATGCGCATGGTTGACACTTATTGCGCACATGACACGTTTGTCAGAATAAAGGATATTTCATTAATGGATTAGCTATCAAGCGCAATGGATAACATCTGAAGAGGTCGTTGGAAAAGAACAGTCTTCGTCACATGTTGGTTGCAAAGCGATGTGATTCCTTGCCTCTAGCAGAAATATGACAAGTGTAATCAAGTCACGGACCTCGGTTAAGATAAGAGGTGCATCAATATGGCACTGAGTAGGGTCTAATCCAGGTCATCGACTTCGTGGAAGAAGACCATCTCAAGTTGCTCGTAGAAAAATGTTCTGCGATCTCCTTCGACTAGGCGTCATTTGGATATGTCAAATCATGGCATAATTATGAAGTTCTCAAGGTTCAATCCTTAAACCTTAAAAACTGGGTGACTTTTGTTATGGCGGAAAAAGTAGGGTTGACATGGAGCCTCGTCAGTAAAGGATTGCCAAAGTTCAGAAGGGTTCTGCGCCGTCCAGGTGCAGCCACGTTGCGCTTAGCGCAAGTGGCATGGCTCCTGTTAGTGCAGCAGGTGATGTCAAGCCAGCAAGCAGCTGGAGATCGCCCACGTGTCAAAGCCCTGCTTTAATCGAGGAAATCCCTCAAGTAAGTGATCAATGGGACGCAAAGAAAGGATTTACATGACACCTACCCACTTGCAACTTTCAGAATCATTACCTTGAACTTTCCCACTATAAATAGAGGACTTCCCTCTCATTTGGAAAAGAATAGCTGATTTTACGCTGAAATAGCTCTCTCTCTCTCTCTCTAAACTGTAGCTCAGCTCGCGGAACGTAACCTGATCTCTCTCTTATTAATACAATAGCTATAGACGCAGGATTCACTTTAGAGCATCCGAACCACTTTAAATATTGCTCTTCACCTTTTATTTGATTCAATCCCCTCATATCACGTGTGACTTTTAAGTCATTTTAGCATTTTACACGTGCGAGTAGTTGGTGTCAAAATCAAGCATCAACAAAAGTTATTGGAGGAGTTGTGTTTGAAAATGCATATTAAAGATGTCATCAACAATTACTAGATGTTGCATAAGGTGATCTAACAGATTTTTGTATGAGTGTATGCCTTTTAGTCTATAATGATTCATGTAGAAGAAAAGCAATTGTAACTCACTTATATATCATGTGAACACAATGAGGTGAATGGTCCCTATTGAAAAGATAGATAAGAGTCTTGACTCTTGAGCACTACCTCTTTCTTTTTTTAAAAAAAATAGAGGGTCCTTATTTTTTATGGTCACAGTGGGCAGGAGTATCGAATGGGATTGCTCAATACAATAGTAGAACTAACAATCATTCCACTGATGCCTTCATCCATAAAAAGAACAATTGTGCTATTTATTCAACTATAAACTTTGCACAGATGTCATAAAAATCTCATTTGAGGAAGTAAGACAGAATTTCGGTGTAAATCTTAACATGAGTAATTAAGAAATCTCACAAACAAGAGTAATTACAAAACGAAAGCTCACCATATAATATGAGTTTGTAGCAGCTTCGTCGTCAAAATCCAACTTGTAGCAACTTCACTTGCAGTGAAAAATTAGTAGAAGTGAAGAAGAAGGTGGCTAATGTGGTTTAGAAGTGAAGAAGGAAAGACGACGATGGCTGATGTTACAGCTTTGTTGGCGTCTGAGACTTTGCGGTGTGAAGAAGTGAAGATGACGGTGGTTGTCTGGCTGATGTGGTTTAGAATTGAAGAAGTATAGACGACGGTGAAGATGACATGGCTGATGTTTCAAAGCGATCTGAAGATGTGAAGACTACGGTGGCTGATTAGGGATTTTGCGACTGAGTAGTGGTTGTTTTGGGGGTTTTGTTACTGCTGTAGTGAGTGATTGTGGTTTAGTTTTCATTTTAGGGTAAATGTAATTTGACGCGAGCTCCCACGAACGAACGATCGAGTAAAGAGCTAAAATACTCGACTGACAATGCGAGCTTTAGTAAAGATCACGAGCAACTTGAATCGAGCTCCCATTTGCTCCTGAACTAGTGCTCGAACTTGGCATCTGCTCGAGGATAATCGAACCGAGCTTCCGCTCATCATGAATCGATCCCGAGTAGCTCGCGAGCTACTTGGGTCGACTACACCCCTAGACGCGAGCTACTTGGGTCGACTACACCCCTAGATGGAAGTGAGGTTTTTTTGGGTGTTTTCTGCCTTCCCTAACATATTATTAACAACATAAATACAAATACAGATTCTGGTGAGTGTATCGAAGTAGTCTTCATCTTCACTGAGCCCATAAATTGTCAAAGGCTCCAATTTCAATTTATGTTATGCCGTAAACCACTTTCAATTCTCATTTTATTGAATAATTCTATTACTTTTTTTTCTACTTTGCTAAGAAAATTCAATCATCAGATTCAAACTATGCTTTTCTCCAAGGTCCAAGGTAACTTTCATCACTTTTTCTTAATTTAATGGGAATTTCCCACAACCACAAAATAAAATTTGATTAGTCAACAAAATTGACCCAATTGATATATAAAAACAATTACAATAGAAACTTTCTTTTGACCCAATCAAGTCTACCTGTGCCACTACTACGGGTCAATTCAAACAAACTCGAAAGCTCAGAAACTTCCATGTTTTCTTGATGAACAATACAAAAAAGAAAATAGCATAACATTTGCGACCCCTTCACTATATAATTCACATAAACCATCTGAAATCTGTGAATCTACTTTTTATCAAAATTTAATTGCGTATCTTGTTCTATCTTTTTTAACTTTACCATATTTGAACGAGAATTGGAATCACGTAAAGATATTATGTCTCATCCTATCTCTTTTTTTTTTTTTTTTTTTTTTTTTTTGAGTTATAGTTGTTTATCTCTATAATATTATTTTAGTCCAACAGTTGCTGATAATAATGATAAGAGTAAATGTCTTTTTCTCACTCAAATAATAGTTTAACGAAATTTTTTTGCTTACAGGCCTTTAAAATATTACTTTGTTACTTAAATTTATATTATATTTTCGATTCCGGTATCGTTATGACTCCACACTACTACCATTCTCTTACTTAATCATCATTTATCAAAACTCCTTAAATCTTACTTCTGTGAGCCCTGTCAATCATTAGTAATCGAGCGATTAGAGTTTACACAACCTTCACTCTTAAGTTAAATTTCGATCAATTTTAACCACCAAAATCTAATATTTTACTAGAAGACTCAATGACCTTATTTCTTCAAAAGTTTTAATAGTCTAGACCGAGTTTATTCTCTATTTGTCAAAATATAAATTTAGATAATAAAATAATATTTTATAATCGAATATATAAATTTAAATAATAAAATAATATTTTAAAAATTTATTAGTAAAAGGATTGACGGTAGGAAAAGTCGTTTACACTGGTGATGCTCATAGTTAGAAACTTCCGATCATATCATGTCAATATCTAAATACAAATTAAAATTTTATTGCTTTCAATAATTTCATTTTTTCCCAATGTATATAATAACTAATAAGATATCAAAACGCAACGTACTGGTTGATTACATGACACAACTTTTAATACTAATTTACAAGAAAAAATCTGATGGTCCCCAAAACCGAATTTTCAAAAGCACCAAAAGTCACGCCATCCGTCTCCGATCTGACGCACAGAATTTAAATAAAAGAATAAAGTATAAACCGTTGATTAATTTCTTTCACTGTACAATTTTAATTCCCAAAAATTTAATATAATATTTTTCTTCTCTTTACACCAAAAACCGCTCTCTTCCCAACAAACATTACCTAAAACAACTCAAATTAAGATTTAAAAAAAAAAAAGTGATTCAGCTTTGAGCTATAGCACTGAGTCAACTCGTCTCCCTCGTTCACTAAACATTTAGCAAAAACTCAAATCCCGCTCAAACATTCATAAATTTTCTGAATTTTCGGCTTTTGACATGATGTAGAACCGACTCGGTCTCGGCTGAAAAGCGGCTCGGCGGCGCTGGTGGTGAGATGACGGCCTTATTAGAGCGGACAATGCTCTTTTCACCAACTCTCCTTCCACTCCTCCGATTCTCACAAGCGAGTTCGTCATCGCTGATCTCCTATAGTTCAGCCGACTACTGGAGTGGTATGACGGAGAGGACATCGTTTTGTGATTCTGATAGTTGTTCGCTCTCTTATGAAGAGCGCACCGGAAAGAGCCAGGGTGCGTCGTCGGCGAGCAAGCGCAGGTCCTCTTAGGAGTGTTGAACGCCTTCGCATTGCCGTTGTTTGTGACGGTCTGCCTGGTGAATGAGATCGACCGGTTGGGAGAGATCGGACGGTTGTCTAGAGAAAACCGAACCGACGAAGAGGATCGATGTGACACGCGGTGGTCGTTGTGATTGGAGTGGCTGTATCCATACAGACTGACACGTGTGGGAGAAGTGGCACGTGCGAAGAACGTGGAGGAGGAGCAAGAGGAGAAACTTGAAGTGGTTGAAGAAGCGAAGGAGGAGGAGAGTTGTGGTCTGCGAAAGGTGTGAAGATCTGGACCGTTCGATTTGTTACTTGATGACGTTGACGTCGCCATTTTGATTTAAGCACACTCAGTATTTTTTTTTTTTTTTTTTTTTTTTTTTTTTTTGAAGTGCGGCTTTGGAGACTGATTTTGGCAAACCTAACGGAAATGAAGGGAGGGTATATATAGGCGGGGAGAGGGAGAAGCGGTGGGTTGATTGTAATTTGTGGAAGTTGGAGGGGTTGTTATGAGTAAGGGGGTTTCGCTGGTTTTTGAGAGAGAAACTACTGCTAGTCGCGGGTTAGAATTTCCTTTTCGGGTTGCGAAAGGCCGAAAAGGAAAGGAAAACTGTGGGCCTAGTAGCGCTAGGGTTTCACGCGCGTGTAGAGAGTGTAAAGCAGACCAACAAGTTAATATTTTTATGAAATTATTCTAATTTAAATATGAGTAAACGACTTTTTCCTACTCAAGTTTTGCCTTAATGACCCTTTCCCACCTAAAAGTTTTAAAATATCATTTTTCTATTCAAAGTTTATATTTTGTTTACTAATCAAAATACATTTTTTGATTCGGCAACGAAGGAAGAACAAACTTGATCCAGACTATTGAGGTTTTTGAAGAGGGGATATCGTTAAGTCTTTTCGTTGTGGCAAGTTGAATTTTGATGGCTAGGATTGATCAAAATTTGACTTGGAAAGAGCAGCTGCACATTTTACAAATCTTTTAATTGTCAGCTACTGGCTAGGTTGGCAAGAGCAAGGTTTAAGGGGTTTTGAAGAGTTATGATCGAGGAAGAGAATTGTAGTGATTTGAGATCGCAAAGATGTCGGAATCAACCAAAGATTAGTCAGAATATAAACTTTGGGTGGAAAAATAGTATTTTAAAACTTTTTGGATAAAAAAAAAAGTGTCATTAAAGCAAACCTTGGGTGGAAAAAGGTCGTTTACTCTTTAAATATATATTAACATAAGAAAATAAATCAAAGAATAAAATAAAGTCAGGTTAGAAGAAAAAAAAGTTTATAGTTTTATCCATATTAGGATTTTTAATGTTTTATCTATAATCACGTAAAAAGTAATGTTATACATACATTATTATAGGTATATATTTTTAAATTGTCATTTTATTTTCAATCTGTCAAATTCGTGTACACATTTAATTTGATTGTATTTGTATACATAATTCCCTAAGAAGTTATTGTATTCTCTTTAATATAGATTTATGTTCTTATGACTTGATTTTTTAAATGTTAAATTATTAATATATAAATGATTATTATTGATATTTTGTAATTTTAATGGGTTAGAAAAAGGAGTTTATTTTTATCCAACTTAGTAGCTTAAAAACCTGAATATTGCAAAGGGTTGATTTATGTGAATTTATAGCAGCTGAATAATACAGTACAAGTGAAAGATACGTTAGCATTGTAGTATTGTAAAACTGTTAACATTAATTACTTTATAAAGAATAAAAATTAGTGCCATATTTTTTAAATTTAATAACATATCTAAAACATATTTTGAGAAAAGAATAATACTATGCTTATAACTTATTCTAAAAAACTTCTTTTATAACTATGCGTGACAGTTGAATTGACATTATCATGTCAATTGCAGCACATCCAAGACACAAAATGATTTTTACTAGATCTTAGAATCGATCATTCCTTCATAATGAACAATCATTCATTATTGAATGAATGATCGTTCCTTACTTACAGAGCGGCCATTCCTTTCTTACAAAACGGTCGTTTTTTATTTTCTTAAGGTATGATCATTCCTTTATAAGAAATAATCGTTAATTCATAAGAAATAATCAAATGATCGTTCATAGTCAAAATCTTTTAATGCCTAGGGTATGGTGGAAGCTGATGTGACTCTAGTACCATGTTGAGGTTATAAGAGAAAGTTGTGAGATTTAATTACAAACATAGTATTTTTCTTAAGAAAATGATATTAACAATAAATACTTTATAAATGCATAACATTTGCACATGATAAGGTTAAAATGACGCAAAATTTTAAGGATGTTTATGTTTACATTACATTATACTTATACCACTCATTATATTTTTGTAATTTGGATCTTTTCCTAATTATATAAATATTTCACAATAATAGAAAATTGATATAGTTATATAATTATAATTACAAATTTTTTCATTTTTAATGTTTAATAAATTCACACATCCTTCTTCTAGTTAAGGTGAACATAGCATCACACTTTTATAGAAATTTTTTTTTAAGAAATTTTAAATTATGATGGTAATTAATAAAATATATATAAATGACAAAATCTTTTGTTTTCCTTATTAGAGATGGTACTATCTTTTATCATGTAATGCACGCTCCTTAATGGGGGGTGAGATAAGAGTCGATAGGTTTTATGGAAGCACAGTGCATAAGGCGTCATTTATAAGAGATTTGCTGGGCGCATAATGAAGTGCCGCGTATCGATTTTTTACTATGCTGTGGGGTCCGTTTTAAACTAAAGTAGATAAATATTTCAGATCAACTGTCAGATTCTGTTGTTGTATCTGTCTGTTTGCCCATTTTTTATTTTACCAAACTACCCTCCATCTTTTACTAAATTCACATTATCAAAATCAAAGGAAATAATACAAATTTGTGTACCAAATGACGTGACAAAATCCTGGTAATTGATTAATTTTAATTTAATATCAATCAACGGTCAAGATTTTACCACGTTATTTACTACACAAATTTAGTACACTACCATCGGTGACTGTAACATTAGCGATCGAGATGTTTTGATAATTTTATGGAGTTATTGGATTTAAACTTTGATAATCAGTATAATAATATTGTAACTTATTCGGTGTTTTAAATTTTATAAGGTGTTTAATAAATTTAAAAAATTAGTTAAGATATTACACAAACTAATCTAAAAAACCTGATTATCAAAAATAAATACTATTTAAGATCTCATCTTAATCCATGATTGTAAATTTGTTAATGACCTAATAAGCAAGTATATATATATATATATATATATATATTGGTGATTGGAGTGTTCAGTCAGTTTACGCACACCTTGACTAATTATTGAGACCCTAAAGTTAATGACTGGATAAACATTTCAGTTACCACTTTTATCAGCAATTGAGAAGAATCGAATTTAAAATCTATTAAGTAATACACCCAAGAGTCTCCATCTCTCTGTCCGATCACCCATAGATGGTTAATATACAAGTATCTTATTCTGATGATAGATATTTATATATTTTTGAAAGGCTAACTAAAATTTGATAGCAAATAAAGACACAACAATGATGAATAGTTAAATATATGACACTTATAATGATCGCTACCTCTGTTGATTCGACATTAATTAATTTCAATTTTTGGATTGGTGATAATTCAAAATTGACTAATTTCTTTATCTCCTTTTAAAGCAGTGTAACTGTGTTTTCAAATTGTTTTCTCCATTAATGTAGTGGAGGAGAAGAAAAAAAAATCAATATATAAATATATAATAATTACAAAAAAATGAATTAAATTTTATTTTCTAGAATACCAACTCATAAGTAAGAAATGGAATTCAATAAAAATTTAAAATGAAAAAAATATTAAGCTTAATTACAACAATTAAAGTGATTAAATAAAGAAAAAAGAAAAAATAGAAACCAAAAAAGTGAGAAAATGTTGTGCCACCTTACAATAAATGATGGCTGAACTGAAAGTGATTCAACGATAACTTTTCAAGGTGGCAAGGTCAGTTTGGTAATTAATCGAATCATTGGGTCCTATTTAGTAAATGGATTTCTTTGACGTTGAGCAAACGGGCTTTTAATAAAATTCTTTTTCAACGGTCTTTTAACGATACGTGACGGCCAGTTCATAGACTTTGGAAGTTTCTTAGTTGACGCAGCACATTGTATTGAAAACAATGTGTTGAAAGAAGACACGTGGCGCCATGTGTTGAGAAGATTGTGGGTCGCGTAGGGCACCGGCTGTCATTTTTGGCGGTTACTTGGGAAATGGCTGACTCTGTGTCCCAACTTACGTGCCGGCCCACTGCGAAACGTGGCAACCGATGAAATATAGTATCTCGCGTTAGTTGAATTATATTATTTTTTATTTACATTAACTTTTTCTATTAAAATTTCCATTTATGTTCTTTTATATGTTTAATATATATGTCTTTTATTTATGTTCTTGGTATATTTAATTTTCACTAGTCCGTTTAGATAATATTAGAAATTGTGTGGATGTAAGTGTGTGTAGGATAAAAGGAGGGCTTTGACCATGATTTCGACCTATCGTTGCATTTAAGACTCTTGACTGCATTTGTTTACTTTTCAAACCATGAAGGAAGATTCTTCTTAAACATCTAGGAAAGTGGAGTAGTGAGACGATAAATGTTGGAAATAAAACCGCGCATGTAATTGGCAATTTCCAAGAATTGTTGTATTTTTTTATTGGTTGTGAGAACATCTGTGAATTTTTGCAACTCATTAGCAATATGAGGCTGAAGATCATACTTGCCGTTAGCAATCACCATACCAAGAAAATCAATCTTTGTCTACCCTAACTATATTTTCTTCTCAGAGAGCATAATACCATAAGAGTATATGATATCAACAAAGTCACGAAGAAGACGTATATGAGATTCCTCATCTTTTGAAAAGAGAAGGACATCATCGATACAAAAGAGAAGGACATCATCGATACAAATGAGACGTGTATGAAGAAGGGGAGCAAAAATCTTCGTCATAGCTTTCTGAAACAGAGAATGAGCAACCTTAAGTCCAAAAGGTATGACCGTCCACTGGTAGTGTTGATTGGGAATGCAGAAAGCAGTTTTATGACGATCATCAAGATGAATTCCAAGTTGCTAGAATCCAACTTTGAGATCAAATTTCGAAAACAACTTTGCATTATGGAGATTTGCAAAGAGAACTTGTTTGAAAGGCAAAGGAAATTTATCATCACAGAGAAAGAAATTCAATGGCTGATAATTAATAACAAGTCTGAGTTTGCCTCTGGCTTGTTCAACACGTTTATTGACATAAAAGGCTTCACATGCCCATTGAGAATCTGTGGGTTCG